TGAAGCAGCCTCCAGGATATGTAGATCAGCAGTATCCTCATTATGTGTGCAAACTAAAGAAATCTCTTTATGGGCTGAAACAGGCACCCCGGGCTTGGTACCAGCGTCTGTCAGGGTTCCTTGTTGACTATGGCTTTGGGAAAAATGAACATGACACCAGCTTCTTTGTTAAGCACTCTCCCTCTGGCATTCTCATTGTCCTTCTCTATGTTGATGATATTATTGTCACTGGCAGTGCCTCACCTCTTATCTCTTCATTCATCGAGGCTATGCAAAAGGAATTTCAAATGAAGAATCTTGGCCCTCTTCACTACTTTCTTGGTCTTGAAGTCACACGCACAAAGGATCATCTGCTTCTATCTCAGGAAAAATATGCCCGTGAACTTCTTCATAAAGCACGAGTCGAGGATTGCAAACCGGCCCCCACGCCCCTACCCGTACGGCAGCCCGAGGAGGGGGTGAGCCGTCCATTCGACAATCCCACCATTTTCCGGAGTTTAGTTGGCTCTCTCCAATACTTGACAAACACGCGTCCAGACAAAAATCCCTGGTCATTGCCCAGACCAAAAACCAACTCGGTCGGCGCTTGGTGTTCGGCATCGGCATACGGCATTCGGGGTTAAGCGTTCGATTTTTGGCGTCCAAACCAACTCGGTGGTTTTCAATATTTTAAACCTCTTTTTTACATCTGGGCATATTTAAAAGGTTCCCAAATAATTATTTTATAAAAACCACTTTTGTATCTTGGTCAATCGGTCTAACACGTGAAAAACGGTCAAAACCGTACACACGTGACTAACGACCTCGAAGACTTGGTTTTTATCAAACAAGTCTTGATTTCAATATTTTATACCATATACAATTTTTTTCAAACTTGGTTTTTACTTTTGGGAACACTTCGTTTTTGGACCTCGGCTTTTCGGGTTAAGTTTCTCGCCGGATGGTTTTAGCCAGCTGAAAATCGATTGTCAGGTAATGACATTCGAATATTGGCTGCTGCAGTTCTGAACCTCAAGTTCTGAACCTCAAGTTCTGAACCACCCAATAGTCGACTGACAACTATTGTCACTCGACTGTCAGCGTTTAACTTCAAACCCAGAAACTTCTAAGAGGCCTGATAGTTGAGTGACACGTCTTGACAATCGACTATCAGTGTTACCGTTGTCCTCCAACGGATAGAATTTTAAATTTTTGGACAGGGAATCTTTTGATAATCGATTATCAAGGCCAGACAATCGACTATCACCCTGCATCTCTGAAAAATTTGTCTTCATCCTGTTGGAAATTCTAGCAACGGGTTTATCCCATTTTAGGCTATAAAATGGCACCCAAATCCTCTCATTTTATAAACAATTCTTCAACATTTCAATACTCTTCCATTGCATAAGCATTCCTATTTTTCTTAGCTATTTGAGAGCCAATTCTTGAAGAAATTGTCGTGTTCTTGAGCGTTTACTAGTTCACTCATATCTACTCTTTGTGAGAGTTTTATTCCTGAGTGTTGAAGTGTTTTTATACACTTTAAGGGAGGTTGTTCTCTTGTTGTAAACTCGAAGGAAGTCTTTCGTTCCTCCGTGAGAAGTCTTGGAGTGCGGTATCTCCGAGCAAAGGCGTTGAGGCTCGTGTGACTCGAGTTCTCAAGTTGTATCGGTTTGTTGAAAACCTTTAAGCTTAACGGAGTTAGTGTAACTCGAAAGAGTCTCTCGAAAGGCTGGATTAGCCACACGCTGTGGTGAACTAGGATAAAATTCGGTGTGCTCCTTCCTTACGCTCTTTACTTTATCGCTCTCGTTTTTAATTTCCTGCGATTTTGTTTTAAACGCTATTCACCCCCCCTCTAGCGGGCATATATTCTAACAAGTGGTATCGGAGCGAGGAAGCAGGCTCGAATCCCCCGAGTGTCGCTGGGGGGAGATTTTTGGTCTTATGGGGGACCATCGATCACCCTTAGGGATTCGCTACTGTGTTTGTCACGGTATCGGGTATTGACAGCCCAACCTGACGAGGTACATGAGTCGTGTATCTTGCGAAGCCCCTCCTGTCCATCCATCGCTCAGTAGTGGGGCTCCGCACTACCGTAGTGAACTATAGGGGGTGCCCTATAGGAATCTACCTCGGCTTGGGGCTACAGAGAAATGTGGTTAAATACAAAGTGTCCACCTTCCTATCACCAATTGGTTTTAGGAAGCATTTGACACCTCTTTAACTTTAGAACTCTGTAGTTAAGCGTGCTGGAATGGGAGTAGTCCCAGGATGGGTGACCCACTGAGAAGTTCCAAGAAAAACGATCCTACAAGTGGTATCGGAGCCATACTCTCTGAAAGACTTAACCGTTTGAGAGAAACGATCAATCGCTTCTACTCAAAAGTTTTTCGCAGGAATAGGTGAAGGTCAATCTACCACGAGGCCACCGTTATTTGATGGAACAAATTATACATATTGGAAAGAGCGGATGAGGATTTTTATTCAATCCAACAACTTTCTTTTGTGGAGAATAATTAAAAATGGTGAAGAAGTACCCACAAAGAAAGTTGGGGAAACCATCGTGCACAAAACCGAAGATGAGTATGATGAGCGGGATATCAAGAAGATAGAAAACAACGCCAAGGCTATCAACATCATCTATTGTGCCGTAAACCCGGATGACTACCGGAAGATCTCTTGTTGTTCCACCGCCAAGGAAATGTGGGACAAGCTAGAAATCACATATGAAGGTACGGATCAAGTCCGAGAAGCTAAGATAGATTTTCTAACCCATGAGTATGAACTATTTCGTATGAAGGAGAACGAGAAAATCGACGATATGTTTGAACGATTTTCAAAAATCGTAAACGATCTTCATGCTCTCAAGAAGACATACACGGACAAGGAGCTTGTGAGAAAAATCCTGCGGAGTCTCACACCGGAATGACGCTCCAAAGCCGATGCTATCCAAGAATCTATCAGCATCACCAATGTCACCATTGACGGGCTTAGAGGTAACCTCAAAACCTATGAGTCTACCATTCTTTACCCCTCTTTAGGTGAACAAAAGAAGAATGGGATTGCACTCAAGGCGTCCACAAGTCAAGAACGTGATGTGGAGGACTCGAGTGACAAAGACGAGTTCGGGGTCGTGCTTAAGAAATTCCATAAGTTCATGCGCAAGGAGTTTGAACGAAAAGGAAAGAAGCAAGGAGAACCACCCAAATGCTATGGGTGTGGAGAAGTTGGGCATATAAAACCAAAATGCCCAAATACCAAGAATGAGAAGAAACCGTTCAAGAAGCACCGAGCTTACATCTCGTGGGGAGGTGATTTCGGTGACGAATCATTGGAAGGCGAAGAAAACGAAAGTGCCAACCTTTGCCTCATGACACACGAGGAACCACCGGAAGAGGTATGTACCACTTCTAAAGATTCCTACACCTTTGATGATGTTCAAGAAGCCTTCAATGAACTTTATGATGAATATGTCAACGCTTCTAAAATTAACAAGGATTTGAAGAAACAACTTACTTCCATGGAGAAGGAAGTTGATAAACTATCAAAAGATAATGAAAAACTTAAAGAAGAAAATAAGTTTTTCGGGAAAAGAAGCGCCGACAAACCGGAGAGTTCCAAATGTTGTTCTTGTACATCACTTAAGCAACAAGTTGCAAAACTTGAAGGAACCTTGAAGAAGTTTGGTGTTTCTCATAAAAATCTTAATGATATTCTTGATAATTTGCAACTTACTAAACATGGCTTAGGGTTTGAAAATGAAATTAACAATAATAAAGAAAACGTTGAGCAACCACCTAAACAACCTAAGGCTCAACTTAGGAGAAATAAAATGAGCAATAATAGACAACCTAGAACAACTAGGAACACTAGACCACATGGAAAGAACACTAGGATAAACTATGGTCATGTTAGGGAACCTAGAAACAATTTTATAAATATGCATAAGCAAAACTTTTCTCAAACTAGGATCAATCAATATAGAAAACCTAGCAATTATTATCAACCTAGGAGAATGTACAATCCAAATGTAGTATGCCATTATTGCCATAGGGTAGGTCATACAGCACCCATGTGTTTTAGTAGGCATAGGCATTGAACAAATAACAAAACACACACTTTGCATAGCACTAACCTAACGAGATCCTTTGAAAAGGGATATTCGAGTTCTAAGCGATCCTCGCAGGAATCAACGCAAAAGAAACCATATTACTTCTTCTATTATGATGAAAAGAAGAAGATTCACATACCACTTCAGGAACCCACACAAATCAAACCAAGGTATAGGCACTCGGTTCAAGTGGACTGGAACCCGCCAACCCAAAGACCACAAGTTGGTCAAGGTAACACTTAAATGTGAATATCGTACGTGCGTGTGTGTGTTCTTTGGCGTGTGTGGCTATGGGTGCGTGTGTTTATTAGTTTAACAAGTCATGTTACTAATCCTCAAGGACCCAAAAGATCAAAAATTGGGTACCAAATGTTTTCATTGTAGGTGTCAAAGTCAGGGGGAACAAAGTAAATCAATTTTTGGTTTCCAAACTAGGTGTAAATCGATTTACAGGCATGTGATAATCGATTATCACAGCCCGCGGAAGCTTGAGGCAAATCAGCTGCAAACTCCAACAATCGAGTATCAACTTTCTGATAATTGATTAACATGGATCTCTGAACATTTTAGACTTCAGAAGGAAATCAGCGTCAGTCGACTTACACAAACTTGGCAATCGACTATTCATGTCTGCAGATCTTTCGGCGGAGAATCAGAGGGCTCAGATAATCGATTTACAGATTGTGTAAATCGATTTACAACGGCGATTTTTCAAAAATCTCACCGTTTCAGAACCGTTGGAACTACATTAAAGTCACTTTTTGACTTCCCCAACGGATCTCAAGCCCCTTCCACTATATATTGGTGATCTCCTTTCATATTTTACTCACTCACATCTCATTCTTTTCACATATTCATCAAATTACATCAATTCTTCTCTATTCTTCATAAAAATTCTGCAAATTAGTCTTGTTTTCTCCCTTTCTCTTGTTGAAATGGCAGGAGGTCAAAGAAGGCGCTCCCGCACCGGAAAGAACGTCACTTCCTCCTCGGCTCCTCCTCCACCACCGGCGCACAAGTACCTCGATGGGTCATTCCTTTGGTTCAATGACCGCGTAGAGGCGACGCGGTTCTCAAAGAAGTTTGAGCACAAGGAAATTGTTCCTCCCCGGTTCTCCACCGCCCGCTTCATTCATGATTCCATCCCACGCGAGGCACGAATTATCCTCGAGCGTGGAAACTTCCTCGACCTCCTCTACATCAAGAAGGCTCACTATCAACCCTTTCTCGTTCGAGCTTTCTACTCGAATTTGACAAAGGATGAGGACGGAGCGTTGATTTCAAACGTCAACGGGGTGGATATCTATTTGAATGAGGAAAACATTCAAATTCTCACAGGGCTTCGTCGGAATGGACAACATCTCGGCCTCTATGCCAGAGAAGAAGGAGCGCGATTCAACGAGACTGCACTCTTGGAGGAAGTGGGCATCAGAAACTTCGTCCCCACTCCCCAACAGTGGCGCCCTACGATTACTTCCATGAGTCCCGTGTTTCGCTTCATTTTTTATGTTTTGACACGAATTCTCAAGCCAAGGAAGTTCAATCACACCGCTCTCTCCCAAGAGGACACGAAGACGCTTCATGCGATGATTCACAACGCCAACATTAATTGGTGTAAATTTGTGATGACTCACATGTTTAGCGCCACCTCCGACGATCGGCCGCTCCCCTACACCCTCCTCGTCATGGCGATTCTTGATGAGTACAACATCAAGACCGACGTTGGGCCTAAGATAAAGGGGACAAAGCATTGGGAGATTGATGAATCCTCCTTCCACTAGGGCACCGACAGCCTCGTCCACGACGTCAACCAAGGGATGCTTCTTCAACCACCCCTTCTCTTGCCGAGCAAATGGCCGCCTTGACCGCCACTCTTTCTCGGATAGACACCAACGTCTCCCAAACGGCCCAAAACGTCAAGATTTTGAGCCGTGAGCTCCACGGGTATTTTGACTTTGTCAACTACCCTTACGCTCAAATGGTCCCTTACGCTCCTCCGCCAAACTTCGGTGGTGAACCAAGTGGGACTAATAACGTTGGTGGAGAAGAAGAGGTGAACGATGAGGAAGAAGAGGAAGAGGAAGCCGAAGAAGAAGAAGAATAAGATGATGATGATGATGATGAAGAGGAAGAGGAAGACATCGACGAAGAACAACTCCTCGATGATCTTTCACCGGATTTCTAGAGCTCTAGCTCTTTTCTCTTCTCTTCTTTAATTATTATGCATTTTAAATTTGCTTCCGTTGTGTACTTCGCTATTTCCCTTATTTAATGAATAAAAATCTTTATGGTTTTTGTTAAATCTTTGTGTTAATGTCAAAAGGGGGAAGATAAGGGCTATGCATATATTAAGGGGGAATTTTTATTAAGGGGGAATTTCTTTCAAAAAGATCAAAACCCTTTGCATATCCCCGTCTTGTTTGCCATTATCAAAAAGAGGGAAATTGTTGGAACACACTTTTTATTACGTTAAACTAAAGTCGTGTTCATTTCTGACAGGTTTTGATAATTGCCAAACCGCCGTGGATATGAAGAGTTTCATTGAATAACTCAAGGCGTGAAGAATGGTATGGAACAAGACCAAAAGACTCAGGGACAAGATCAAGAATTGAAGACGTAGTCGAGTCGGTCTTTTGTGATCAAAACCGACAATCAATTCAAGTCTCGGTTCTCAAAGAGTCAAAATAATTTTACAAAATCATAAAACGTTTTTTTGCATCAAATAAACATTTTTAAAAGCTTCATTGTATTAAAATCCCTGGTCCTTTCCTAGACCAAAAACCACCTCGGTCGGCGCTCAGTGTTCGGCATCGGCATACGGCATTCGGCGTCCAAACCAACTCGGTGGTTTTCAATATTTTAAACCTCTTTTTTACCTCTGGGCATATTTAAAAGGTTCCCACATAATTATTTTAAAAAAAACCACTTTTGTATCTTGGTCAATCGCTCTAACACGTGAAAACGGTCAAAACCGTACACACGTGACTAACGACCTCGAAGACTTGGTTTTTATCAAACAAGTCTTGATTTCACTATTTTATACCATATACAATGTTTTTCAAACTTGGTTTTTACTTTTGGGAACACTTCGTTTTTGGACCTCGGCTTTTCGGGTTAAGTTTCTCGCCGGATGGTTTTAGCCAGCTGAAAATCGATTGTCAGGTAATGACATTCGAATATTGGCTGCTGCAGTTCTGAACCTCAAGTTCAGAACCACCCAATAGTCGACTGACAACTATTGTCACTCGACTGTCAGCGTTTAACTTCAAACCCAGAAACTTCTAAGAGGCCTGATAGTTGAGTGACACGTCTTGACAATCGACTATCAGTGTTACCGTTGTCCTCCAACGGATAGAATTTTAAATTTTTGGACAGGGAATCTTTTGATAATCGATTATCAAGGCCAGACAATCGACTATCACCCTGCATCTCTGAAAAATTTGTCTTCATCCTGTTGGAAATTCTAGCAACGGGTTTATCCCATTTTAGGCTATAAAATGGCACCCAAATCCTCTCATTTCATAAACAATTCTTCAACATTTCAATACTCTTCCATTGCATAAGCATTCCTATTTTTCTTAGCTATTTGAGAGCCAATTCTTGAAGAAATTGTCGTGTTCTTGAGCGTTTACTAGTTCACTCATATCTACTCTTTGTGAGAGTTTTATTCCTGAGTGTTGAAGTGTTTTTATACACTTTAAGGGAGGTTGTTCTCTTGTTGTAAACTCGAAGGAAGTCTTTCGTTCCTCCGTGAGAAGTCTTGGAGTGCGGTATCTCCGAGCAAAGGCGTTGAGGCTCGTGTGACTCGAGTTCTCAAGTTGTATCGGTTTGTTGAGCACCTTTAAGCTTAACGGAGTTAGTGTAACTCGAAAGAGTCTCTCGAAAGGCTGGATTAGCCACACGTTGTGGTGAACTAGGATAAAATTCGGTGTGCTCCTTCCTTACGCTCTTTACTTTATCGCTCTCGTTTTTAATTTCCTGTGATTTTGTTTTAAACGCTATTCACCCCCCTCTAGCGTTGGGCATATATTCTAACATTATACAACAAGAAGAACAATCTTCTTCAACCTCTGAACATAAACTCTCAAAAGAGTAGAAATGAGAAATGATTAAAGGTCTAATGGATGACAAGAAACCACTCTTGAAAACAAGTATACTTTTCTCTCAAAATAATATAAATTTGAGGAATGTTTTATGGAGGATTAACACCTCAAGAATAGGGAGTATTGGAGTGTTTCTTGTTATTAAAAAATGACCAAGGAATGGTGTTTAAATAGGAGGTGAAGAAATATATCCGTTGGTCCAAGAAAAGAAGTTGTGATGAAAAGTGCAGCGTAAAAATCGATTAATGCATTGTCAGTAATCGATTAATGCAGTCTGCGCAGAAAAGTGATAATCGATTAAAGCCAAAGGTATTAATCGATTAGAACGCTCTGAGTAAACTAATCGATTAAAGGCAAGAGGAAAATCGATTAGACCAAGTAATCTGATCGTTAAGCAAAAGTAATTAATCGATTAACCATGAATGTTAAATCAATTAATTGAATGCGAACGAAGGCTAATCGATTAAACAACGAAGTATAATCGGTTAAAAAAATAATGCGCAAAACACGAAGGGCCCAAGCCAGTTGCGATTGAGAGCAGAATTGGCTTAACACTCGTTGTTTGATACAATGGGAATCAGAGAACGCTCCTTCTCTTATTCAATGAATTTGAATAAATTGAATAAGAGAGTAAAAAGTAAGTCCAAAAAATATTTTGTGTGTCAAATGGTGTTCACGAATCTGAATAAAATAGCTTTGCTTACCAAAAATATTTTATAATATCAAAATAAATATTTGATAAATGTTTGACACACCTTTTTTAACTAACTCAATAAAACTATTTTGAACAGTTAAAAAGATTTTTCAACTAACTCCTAAAATAAATATAATTTTTATTTTAACACTCATAAAAATAATTTTGGAGAGAAGATATTTTTTTCATCCTTACAATAATTCCTAAGACTCAAATAAATAAAAAAATCTTCGGAAATCTTCTACTCCTCCGAGTCCTCTGTTAGGTGCTCCTAACGCATCTTGGATTCCAATAAAATCCTGTGCACCTTCTTGAATACTTCAAGGAATGGCACTTCAAGTCTTCGTGTTTGTCGATGTAGCACTCTGATCTTGACTTGAATAAATTGTGTTTGTCAATCATCAAAACATGTGAGTCAAGACTTAACAACACATAAAAGGTTGAACTCATGCATTCCAAGAAAATAAATTTTATTTTCGGTGTTTTGGAATTTGTTTCCAAAAGAGTTAAATTAATTTCTAAAATTAATTTAGAATATTCCAAATATTCAAAAAAACAATATTTTTCAAAACTAACGTTTTTGACTCATATAAAACCTGAAAATAAAATTTCAATATTTTTCTTAAATTTTAATTTTGGTACTTTTTGATTATTGTTTGTTAATCCATAAAAACAATTTCTCAAATTATTTTCATGTATTATAATTATTCCAAAAATCATTATTCTCAGAATATTAGGCTTTTATCACCAAATATTAGATTTCCATTCAAATTAATTATGTAAATTGCGAATTAATTACCGATTTGCCAAAACTGTTTTTCCAAAACATTAATGATTAAATACTTAAATCACTTATTTACTTCTAAAAAATTATTTACAGTCTGAAAATCATATTTTCAAGTTTTTAAAATTACATCTCCGAATTTAATTGGCTTTTTTGATTTAATTCATATTAACACTTAATAAGATTATTTTAAATCCGAAAAATAGAAACTAAAAACCGAGAATTTATTTTAATTTTCCTGTATACTTAAAGTCATATTTTAACATCTCAGAATGAATAAAAATATTTTCCATAATTTATTTTGTATTTATCTTCTAATTAATCAAATTAACTACAAACCAAACAAATCCTTATAAATTAGGAAATAAATTCCGAAAATTAATTTTAAATTTTCAGAGCTCGTAAAGTCTCAGATTTAATAAAATTTAAGTTTCTAATTTTTGAAGTATTTTAATTGGTTAAACCGTTTTAACCTATTAATCCCGAAAATAAAAATAAATCCAAAATTTAATTTAAAAATCATATTTTGGAATTTTATAAAGTCTAGAATTATATTTTGGCACTTTTTGAATTTGGGATAATTTTCAAAACATATACACATATATTTTATTTTATTAATTAACAAAAACTCTAACGGCAATTAGATCTACAACACTTATAATTTTCATATGTCGGCTCCGATACAACTGTAGGTAATCTCTGATTACATCATATGTGGAGTCTCTACTCCATGGGTTCTAACCTCTCAAAGTGGACACCCATGAAAACCTATCGGAGCACGCATCACAATACGCCCCAAGGCAGAGAGCCACGTTTCGTGTCTTCAAGATCATGCGTGAGAGTTCTTGGGGATTGGCCAAACCTTTGTAATCTCCATTACAACCCTTTGACCTTAGCTCTGATACCACTGTAGGGTTCTACGCTTGGATAGGTAGAGGAAAACAAAATTTAATGTCCAAACGTAGATCCACCGAAGACCTCTTATGATCATTATAAGTTATTGTTAAAGAATATACCTTTCTAAGCGAGCAAGCAGCGATATGTGTAGGTTGGAGGATTGGTCCAAGAGCTAGCCACAAAAGTATATGACCTCCAGTTGAGACACACGAACTATGAAGTGTGTTCTCGAGAAAATTATGCTAGTAATTTTTGTCTAGAATATTTTTAAAATATAAAATATTTGGTGTAAAATATTAAGAGAATAAAACAAATTTTGTCTCTTAAAATTAGAGAGAGGGAAAAAAATATGGGGTTATCAAAAAGGGTGGGATGATCTCTTATTTATAAGGAGCATAATCCCCATTCCTACTTCTAATGGGAATGTTCCTTTTAATGTTTAAGAAAGAAATCAAATCCCATTCCTATTTGACTTGGTATTTTTGAAATACCTATTTTAAGGAAGTTTCGAATTTGTTTTGTCAACTTTAATTATCATATAATTAACACAAAATAATATAACATTTTATACATATATACATATCTTTTATATATATATATATATATATATATATATATATATATATATATATTGTAACGCCCCAAAATATACCCTAAAATTTATTGAATTAAATATTCAATTAAACAAAATTTTTTTTGATTAAAATAAATTGTTGTTGGGATTTGGGCTTGAATAAAATATATATTGATATCCAATAAACATAATTGGGATAAATCTTATAGAGATAAATCCAACATGTTGATTTATTGTGTGATCTTGATTGGGAACCTGAGTACAGACCCAAATTAAGAATAAATGAAGAAATTGTTTATAATGTGAACTTTGAAATGATTTATTGAAATAAATCATGGGAATAAATAATATGAATTAAATGTGAGAACCTTTTTGAATAAAGGCCAATTTTGCCTCTGTCAAAGTCAACCACCCAAAAATATGATGTCGGAAAAAGTATAACGAATAAATATAAAAATTATATCGTTGGATAGTGTTTAATTGCACGATCGCAACGGTGCAAACGGATTTCAATTCGGAGAAAATTGTACCAAAAAGTGTACCCGACTGGAACCAAAATTAGTCCCAATCAGGGACGGCGCCTCCTACTCCACTCAGCCGATCGAGGATGCATTCCTACG